AGCGGTTCTAAAAAAAAATCGGATCCTTATCATTGATGAAGCAACAGCAAATGTGGACCCAAGGTAAAAACAAAATCTGTCATGTTAAGATGAGCTGGTTTTTCTTCTAATATTATCATCTGTACTGTAGAGGTGAACTTAAATGCTTTGTATTTCTTGTAGTTTGTATTGCTATTTTACATTTTTAATGATAGCATCATAATTGTCTATTCAAAATGGGGCAGCTGAGCTTTGGCTACAGAGCAGATGATACAAACTAAGTGCTTAAAATATCCCTAATATCAGTGCATTCCATAGAGTAGGGAAATTCATATTCAAAGTTTATTTGTCCTGCAGACATAGACAAGATGACAAGAACCTCCTTGGAAATGCATATCAATAATGTCAGAATAGCCATGAAACAAGTTGAGTTCTGCTGATTTCTGGAAGAAATGTCTCTTGGAAACAAATACATTAAAATTAATTAATGAAATAATCTCCCCTCATAAAATCTCCAAAACTAGAAAGGTGAAAAATGGCTATAAGCAAAACCGGATACTTCTGTATTTTTGGCATTTTGAGATGCTATCCCTTCAGGTGGCTCAGATGCTGATGTAATAAGTTACAGATAAAATAGGGGTGGGGGGAAAGATAAGCTGTCTTAAACACTACAGGAATTGCAAAACAGATTTGGAGATGTTTAAGGCTACAGGAGGGACTCATTTATCATTAGTTATTTTGTCTTGTATAACTCAGGCCGGCAGAACTTTCCTGAATTCATTCCTGTTTGAACTAGAGTGTACTTCTAGAAGAACATCCAACCTCAATAGAAAAAAATTCAATGACAACCCTTGTTGAATTGTTCCAATAGCTAAGTACCCCCACTGTTAATTTTTGAAACATTTGAAACGCTGGTGGAAATATTTTGGAAACAATGCTGCAAACGTACTGCATCAATTAGTCTGAGCTGAATATATAGTTCCAACAAACTATGGCTTGAGGGAGAACTCAAAGTCCAAAGAGGACAATAACACAGCAAGTCCCTCAAACAGATGCATTAAGGATTTTGTATGTCATCTGGGCGTGACTCATTTTTATAACATCTTCTTGGGGGAGAAGTGGTGCCACTAGGGTAGCTTTGCAGTTCAGCTGACAGTGAATTTCTAAAACCTTTAAAGAAGTGCATTCCCTTCCCAGAGGTTCTCTTTTTTCTTTTCTTTTTTTTTTTTTTTTTCCTTTTTTGACTATTAGTTTATTTTTGGCTGAGCTCTGATAGATTAACTGTGATTAATCATAGCTGTGGAAATTTAATACCATCTTACTCATCCTCCCTATTTTGGCATCTCACATGTGTGTGTTCTCAACTTGCACTATCCATTTAATTGATCTTGATTAATGTGTGCTGCAATATATATTATAATAAGGTAAATGTTTGTTTGTATCAACTCTAGGCATAACAATACAAATAATAACTTGGAACTTCTTCTTTGAATTCAGTTTGCATTACAGTCATTATTACCTTTTCCTTAATGTGTTGCTATAACTAGAGCCGAGTATTTTTCAGCTGTGCAATCTGATAGGACGTTCATCAGGAAATGCTGATGTGGGTTGCTTAACTAAGCTGTTAGGGAGGCATTTTTGGCATGTAAGGAAAACCTCCTCATCTTCTGATGCACAACCCCCATACCTGGCACCCTTCTCTCTAGCCTGGCGGCAAGCACACATCGTATCAAGCACCTGGGATAGGAAGCCACGGGGAGCTGCCGCCGGCTCTGGAGATATTATTTCTTTTTTTCTGGCTCTTGATCTCTTTGCCTCAACTGCTGCTGCAACCATGTCCCTTCTCCGGTTCAACCTGGAAGCAAATGTGAGAAGACAGGGTTTGGGGACAGGAGGAGGAGAAGGAAGGGCGAGGTGGCATGAGGCAGTGGATGTGACAGCAGGGTGAGAGGTGCAGTGTACCTTCCCCAGGGCTGAGGGACTCCCCACCATGTTTCTCCAGCTCAGCTAGGCCATTCATGCCTGCTGCTGAGTGAAGCTGCACAAAGAAATGAGGGGGGAATTTGGAAGAACCAAATTCCTTCCTTCTGCGAATGTTCGCCTCTCTCCTTCTTACATCTTCCAGCTCCCGTATGTACCTTTATTTTTCCCCTTGCTCCTTGTAGCTACCAGCTGCTCTGCATGCTGCAGGGGTGTCAGTGCTGTCGTGAGGGAGAGGAGGAGCTTGCTATAAAGAAGGTTGCCCTAAGTCAGACTTGGGGCATGTTGCATGTTTTACATGATGACTGACAGGCATTTAATTTGATCTTATCTCCTTGGTCCTGACACTGGCATTCTCACTCCAAAGAATGGAGTAATTCTAAAGCAGTTGAACCACTCAGGAAAGTTGTATGAAATCTGGAGCAGAAGAGCTGAAATTCTTGGTCATATACTGAAACAAAATCCCTAGTAACTGAGACTTTTTTTAAAACTGAGTAAGCTGAACTTTGTAAGCTTTCCGTGTACTGACTACAGTATTATGTGTTAACTTGTATTTTTACTGCTTATTGAGGACAAAACGTTTTGGCACCAGTCCACTGCCACGTTTTTACACTGGTTGTTCCTTGAGCTTGGTAAAAACAGCCATTGCACATAGTTCAGTTCACTAGCCAGCTTAACCTTGTAAGGTTTAACATCTTTTGTTACATCTAACTGCTATGTGTAACTGTTTCGCTTTTGGAGAAATTATCAGAAGCCACTCGGGAATTGTGTAGTGTGAGATACGCTTCCGGGACAATCCCAGGAGGATATTAGACTGAAGATAATGACTTATCCAGTGTTCCTTTCAGCAGCTTGGTTGCTTCTCATTCAGGTTGTATTTATTCTTGCTCTTTAGATAGTTTTCTTTTTACACAGTCAACTAATTTTGGTTACACCAGATCTTGGGTTGCTGTGAAACTTGGTGTTAGATCCTCAACCCGTGGTGCCAGTGGGACAGCTATACCACCATTTTGTGCTTTCTTATTGTACTGTTCCTTGCGATGAGGAGTATTGCGGTTCCCATTTTCATATAATCAGATTAGGGTTGAGCTTTTGTCATCCAGCAGCCCTGGTTTTGGTATTCAGGTTGCATCTTTGGTTTCTAATGTGCCTGAAAGATGATGGGGTTTGATCCACTGAAGTGGGTGATGGAATCCCTTGGCACTTGCCTGGCCACTTTCTCAGTGTGGGTAGATGCCACAAAGGGTCCATTTGTGCCCTGGAAAAAGAGCAGAACTGCTACTTCCTTTGGCACTTTTCTAGAGGGTAGACAGCTGTAATTTGGCATGCGATATAGTCTCTACACTCTGTCAGCACATAAGTCTGTACACAGATCCGTTTCTTAGTCTTTTATATTTTCTTGCCTTTCCTGCCTTCTTCCCGAGATTCTCCTGGAGGTTACCGATGGTGCTTCTGCCTGCCATCCCAGAAACTATGCTCCAGGATTTACCGTGAACCTTAAAGAGGATCTCGTCAAGTCCCTGTCAGTGGACATGTCTGCATGAGATTTCATATTGTGATATTTGAAGATGGAGCTATTAGGTCTGTTTCTGATTACTTTGTAGTCTCGTTTTAGAACGTTTGTCACACCCACAATATGGCCAGCAGTTTCTTATTAGGGATAAGCTTATATTCAAGAAATACCTGTTTAAGATAATAGTTTGATAGTATCTGTCTAAGAATGAGAAATGGTTTCTATTGTAAATGTAGGAAGAGGTGGTGCTATAAAGAATGCACGTAGTGAAGGAAGATACAATAAATGAATTCAGAGGAGAGGGGTTTTTCAAGGACAAGGCATTCTCCTCAGAGAACAGTAAAACTAACCTGAGAGTTTCAAATAATTTTGAGCCCTTTAAAAAGTTGTTTTCAAAATTCCTGAGCAAGCTATGATTCTCTGTGCTCTGTAGTAGCTCTGCAGGAAACCTCACCTTGAGCTTGACTATAAGGAAAGAAAAAGGCTTTATATAATTCTAGGGAGTATTAAACATTTTGTTTCTGTTTCACTATTCTAACCATTGCAGAGAACACATCCCACTGTCTATATAAACCTCTTCCCTACTGAGTGTTTTCATGTATGGCCCTGATTTTTTTCTTTTGAAATTAAGAGTAGTCAGGTCATTGAGGCATTTCTGAGAAGATAGAAAAAAAAAATACATGCATTAACACTGGTGTGAAAGCACTGGTATTGCTGTGATGTGGGGCATTAATGACAAAAAACTTCCTTTTCTTAAAGAGCCTGTTAACACACAGGGCTAAAGAGCCTGGCTC